GTTTTAGGGTGTAGGGTTGCGGGTTTGAGGACTAAGTTTATGCTGCTTTTGGGTGCAGGGCTTTGGGTTTTCAGTTTAGGATTCCTTGGTACTCGTAGTGGGGCCCCATGCTCGTCCGCACGCAGAGACTGCCAGTGCCACAGATGGGAGTCGTTTGGTCACAAACGCGGGGATCTGGTGCTCTCGGAAGATATTTGCTTAGCCTCATCTTACATATGATGTTCTGCAGCATGATCTAACTCCGTACAGTAGAATACATGCAGCATACAACAACCTATGCAAGTCATAACGATCTAACTCCGTACAATAGAATACATGCAGAATACAAAACAGTATAATTAAAATTTAAGTCAAAATACAATACAAGTCGAACCTAGCGTAATGTAACGACCGAGGGCCTCGGACTTTCAGACGCCCCCGTCAGAGCCAAAGGCCCCCCTAAGACCCTAAACCCTAAGACCCTGAGACCCTAAGACCCTAAACCCTAAGACCCTAAACCCTAAGACCCTAGAGCCCTAAGACCCTAAACCCTAAGACCCAAAGACCCTAAGACCCTAAAATCTAAACCCTAAGACCCTAGAACCCAAAGACCCTAAGATCCTAAGACCCTAAACACCAAACCAGGTTTGACATGATGGGCCTCGAGTGAGCGCCAAGCCCACGAGGCCAGGCGTCTGGGACCGCCAGCTCCTCACTGGCTGCTTGCTTTTTCAATCCATCTATATACATATATCTATCTATCTATCTATCTAGCTAGGTAGATAGATAAGTAGATAGATAGATAGATAGATAGATATAGATATAGATATAGATATAGATATAGATATAGGGCTAGATATAGATATAGATATAGATATATAGATAGATAGGGTTTAGGGTTTAGGTTTTTATTGGTTTTTGGAGGGGAGGGGTGGTAGTTCTCTGAATGAGAGTCCCTTTTAGGGTCCTTTTTATAAGGGTGCCGTACTATATTGCGGACTTAAAACGGGACCCTAATTTGGAGACCTACCCACACGGACATGTGTGTATATATATATATATACACATGTACATATATATATATATGTATACACAGGAGTATAGGTAGCCCCCCCGTTGACAGACCATGACCTTTAATCAGGCATGATCTGTCAACGGATGGGTGACGATCACCTCTTCTAAATTCAATTCCGAAATTTCCAAAAGTTTCGCAATTCCTCACCCTTTTTCCAGACTTTCCAACAATTCCAAAATTTTCAACAATCCAAAGTTTCAAAGTTCCTCCACCTAATTTCCGAAATTTCCAAAATATCAAATTTAAAAGCATTCCAAAATTTCCAAAATTCCCACCCTAATGTTAAGGACCGACTCTGCCAAATAGGGTCTAGATTTTTGGAAATGTTGGAATTCTTGGAAATTTTGTAATGTGTGGAAAGTTTGGAAATGTTGGACAGTTTGGAATGTTTGTAAATTTTGGAAGTTTTGGAATGTTCGGAAATTGGTGGAATTTTTGTAAGTTTCGGACGTCTTGAAATTTTTAGATTTTTCAGAAATTGCGGAAATTTCGGAAGTTTTGGAGTTTTCGGAATTATTTGAATTTTTGGAAGTTTTAAGTTTTGGAAGTTTTGGAATTTTTGGAATTGTCGGAATTTTCAGAAGTTTTGGAATTTCTGGAAGTTTTGGAATTCTTGACAATCTTGGATTTTTTGGGAGCTTTGGAAAGACGCTGATGTGCTTCTTGCATGCTCGTATTCCGAGTGTGACTGTTGGTAGCACCACTGCTCTTGGCTGTTCTGCCCGTAGGTAAGGCATGTTCTTTGCTTTTAATTGTTTCAAAAGCCTGTTTGGCTTGATGTTCTTGCGTAGATTTTCGTTGTTTGTATCGACCGTTGTCATTTTATGCTCAGTTTCGGTTGGGTGTGTTAAAAGTCAGCTCGAGCATGTGCTTGATTGACTTTCATTCAGGACTCTTGAGCAAGGGACCGCAGGAGCGTGCGGACGGTGATCGTGATCACCATCTTCGAGGGAAGGAAGGGGGGGGGAACCCACACCACGGAACCACAGGGGAAGGAGGGGAATACCATGGGGTGGGGGAAGGGAGGGGGGAGGCCTGGCAGCGCTGCACCATTTATATTTATATTTGTAGCTACTTAGAAAAAAATATATGTATGTATGCATGCATGTATGTATGTATGTATATATATATATAATATATACATATATATGCACACACACATATATATATATACACACACATACGTATATATATATA